TCCACCTCAACCTTCGATTATTACTCTGCTCAATTTATGTATTATATGGGTACATAATTCTACATTAGATTTTTTAACTTATTTTAAGCATGCTTTAAAAGTGATAAAAGAAAAGAGGAAACAAATATTAATATTATTTAAATTTCTGGAATAGACAGTAACGTTATTTTGATTTTTATTTTTCGTTTGATTAACTCTAATTTCTATAAGGTTTATCATAAACAGTTGTGTAAAGTTATAGTTATACAAAAACTTTTGAACAATTTATTAATTTTTTTATGAGTTTTTTGTTTTTGGATAATGAAATCGCACTGAGCACTAAGTTTGAAACAAAATCTTAAAAGTAGAATGATTTAGCCAGATATGCCGAAAATTATAAGTATCATCAATTTACATTTTACACTTAAATTTCAATGCTTATCATAATTATTAATAATATTTACAATCAAATGAACATTATTTTTTGCGTATATACAAGCAACAATTATCTACATATTTTAATAAAATAATGGGGCACTGAATTTTTAAGTCCTATGACTTGATCTGAAAATAAAAGTGATATAGGGAGCTTGTAAGACTACAAAAAATATGTTACTACCAAATGTTGGAGAGGGAAAAGATGAAGAGCATAAAAGACATTATGATCAAATGCAACATTGGCGAACAGACGAAAACTATTGAGAGAGAAAAAGAAAATAAAATTGAATAAATTGATGAGAAAAAAGAAAGAAAGCAAAATTTAGTTCCAGTATTGGGAGAAAAAAAAATTGTAAAAGAAAGAAAGAGAAAACATAGATATGAAAGAAAAACAAAAAATGTGTGTTGGAGAGAAAAAAAGGAGAGAAAGAGACACCGCAAAAAAAATTTTTTCNAAGTACAACTTTGCGCCCTCGAAAGTGAAAAAATTCGTTTGCATCTTAGGAACAAACAAATACCCTTTGGGCGAAATTTTTTTACTTTGCGCACATGGTACAAAAATACTATTAAGTTATTATCTTATTTAGAGCAAAGACTTTTTCAACTATTTTTTTAAAAACTTTTTTCTAAACTATTTATAACAGAGTCGTAGAAAATAGTAGTGAATTATGAAGTATCATCTAACAACAAGGAAATATAGTTGTCAGGAACAATAAAGTGTTTTATTCGTTTTCACCATACGTGGTTTGAAGCAAGGTGATGGCTTATGTAAAATACTCTTAAGAATAACACTTAAGGTAAGTTGTTTTTGCGGTATGTCAATAGGTGTATTTTAATTCATGAGTCCCATTAAGTTGTTAAGTATCCTGTGTGTGTCAGATTATGATACAGTTATTACCTTGAGAGCATTTTTATTTAAAAGTATTTAAAAATATTGATACTTAAATTTTTATTAAACTCCTTGCCTTTTATTTACAGAAAGTATATTACAAATTTTCAAAAATATAAATTCTTATAGCATAATATTAAAGTGTAAGGTCTCATAAAGAGTTATGTTGATTTTTAAATTATACTTTTAAGTAGAACGTTTTTTGTAAGTAATTTTAGAAAAAGCCATCGTACCACGTGAAAAGTCGAGTTGTGAGCCTGTGGTGTTCATTTGCCTTTCATGCATTTAGTACAGAAGCCGTCATTAAACTTGTTTACATTTAGAGTCAAATCTCAGTAACTGAAGACATGACTTACTTAAGCTTGACTTGCAACGTATCAATTTTTCAAAATATTTCTGTTGCGGCCCTAAGCATAGTGAGTATTTCTGTACAATTGGTCCTAAAAGCCCCCATTCAAGCCCATGTTTAAAAGTTCGTCTAAGGCTGACTTTCCTGAACTTTTTTTCAGAACTATTGACCCTTTTTTTTTAAGCTTGACATAGATACTAGTAAAATATCATAGGAACAAGTAATGTTGACATTCTAATTTTTTTAAAAGGACTATGCAGTTTTTTAGTTCCCTGAATGATATTTTCAAATAGGATGAGCCTAAATTTACTATGGTAATCGTGTTTAATGATACTTTTTATAGTGTTTATAATATGTTTTAATAACACGTTTTGCTGCAACAGAAAAGCCAAAAGCTACCCAATCTTTAACATTGACTGAAATATAGTTACTCATTGAATTTTTTTTAATTTGTCATTCGTAAAATTATTACGCATGTTGGAGTGAGTGATATAATTGCATTTTAGATATATATAAGTCAATAAAAGTAATCTGTAACACTGCTTCTTCACCTAAAAATGAAAAGAGACGCTGACGCAGCATTGACAAATCTCGTTTACGTATGCCACCTTTGTCTCTCTTGCACCTTGAGCTTATTCTCCTAAAAAGAGAGATTAGCGCAGGAGTTCTTCCGTTCTACGGAGAAAGCTATTTAATTAATACTAACAAATACCTTTAACTATTCCTTTATTCAATAACTAATAACAGTATCTCCTTACACTATAAAAACACAACGCCTTACATCGTCACCTGGACTGAGCTGCAGTTACTCTGCCTCGCACCACGCGAGTCACGTGCGCACGTCCATTACATCCTGCTCGTCCTGGACCAGGAAGGGCTTCTGCTTGTCCTAGATCTACGTTACTATGCACACACTCACACTCAGTACTCAATCCCACACTACTATATTCTCTCCCTCTACTCTGCCCTGCTTGCTCTTGCTCTCTACACTCACACACACTCTTTCTCTCTATCTCTCTCTACTCGAAGAAGCTACTCTCTTTCTCGTCCTCGACTTAACTCTCGTCATCCTGATCTATCAATCGTCTCTCTCTCTCTCTCTCTCTCTCTCTCTCTCTCCAACCTCATCTACTGGTCAAACGTCCGCGAGTCCAACCCACTGGTATGTAGTCCGGGGTCCTAAAGCGGATTGTTCATCCTACGGCTTAATTCTTTCTCTTCTCTCTTATCCTCTTCTTTTTGTTTTAGCTGCTTCCGTAGTCCTCGACCTAGAGACTTCGTCATCCTTGGAAAATACAGCAGTTGCTAGACTTCCGCACACACTCAAGGTGGATGTCCCAGTACTTGCTCACTTGAACAGGTGAAATGTCCCCAATAGTCGGTCACTTATTTCTTTTATGGGCCTTCGTTATATTTTCAATTGGGTTTATACATTAACTTGTATTGAAAGAGTAATTGCTTAGTGCCTGAATAGCTACCCCATTTATATATGTTCTGAAAATTTATAGTGAAAAAATCATCCAGATGACCGACTATTTGGACATGACCGAGTACTGGGACATCGACTTTATCTTTCCTCTGTCGGCACCCTATAAACCTTATTAAAAATAAGCAATGTGGTGAAGCTTTAAATTAATGCTTTTTGTTTATACGCTGCATCAGTGAGAGCATTTTGGAACATGGAGGCCATTTTTGTGTCGTTACAACCCCCCCCCCCCCTAGTCTTGTGCACCTCTGGTTGTTTGAAAGCCGATTCTTATCAGCATGCTGATGCAGCTTTTTAGAAAGTAATGTGAAGAAGGAAGAGTACTTACGTTGTCTTTTCAATTAATATTATTATTATTATTATTATTACTACACAGTCTATCGTTCGACCAGTGACAAATGAGTCATAACACTCACGAAATCTCATGTAATCGAGCTTCATGAGGCTGATACAAATGGTCAGCGAAACGTTGCTGTTTCAAACCAAGAAATACTAATACTTAAGTGTGTTTACTTCTTTAACCATGCCCACAACAGATCACCGATTATCTTACTTCTCTATTATTACTATTCTTATTATTTTTTATTGTAATTGTTATTACTATTATTATTGTTATCATGTTTTTTTTCTTCCTATGTACTATTCAAAGACATGAGTGTCCTCTGTGACATGAAATACATGTACATATAAATGTTCTTTTTAATCTAAATTAACGTAAATCATAAATTTCTTCTTAGTACAGCTTTTATTACAATTTGTTTTTGTTGTTTCATAAAGTTATCCTAAACAGCTTGGCATCCAAAGTAATCTTGCTAAATTATAGCTAACATAAATCTAAGAATCTTATTTTTATCTCAAAACCAAACTCCTTATGGACCGTGTGTAGATAGTGTTTTTTTTTTTACAGATACACTTATGTCACTAGGGCTATTTTGAACCTTAAGGATCCTCAGGGTAGCCCATGTTGAATCGCACTTATGTGCCGAACACTATTTTTCCTACTGAAGGCGCAGTAAATGTCCATATGTCAGAAAAATGCCCTTAAATAGGAAAAAGTATTTTGTTTGGTAAAAAGAAACCTGATATTTATTTTATTTGTATAATCTTTTTTTTTTAATGAAGCCTAATAATAGTTTACTCGACAGTTATATCATAGATGCCGGAACAAGAACTTGAAGTCTCAAATAATTAAGCTTATCAATTTTTTGGTCGTATAAACAAAAAGTAGTAAGAATTTAACATATTAGGGTTATTACAAAAAAATTAGGAAAACTGTAGATGTAGTGAGTGAGATGCTGCAAAAAGTTATTCTTATCTTATGACGTATTCAAAACTGTCAAATACAATTCAAATTTATACAGACAATAGATCAGCGTAATTTAATGAGCTATGAAATTCCATACTCAAGTTACAAAAAATAAAACGAATAGCAGTTAGTTTAAGGAAGGATAAAGAATAGTGGTTTTCGTTACAGAAACTCCATCACCCCCGTGCCTATTTGGTGTTAGCATATTTTGCGCCCGCTTATCACTTTGCGATCTAGAGCTGCACTTTGTACTCGCTAATCACTTTTCTGCTCTTGAGCAAAAAGTACAACTTTGCGCCCTCGAAAGTGAAAAAATTCGTTTGCATCTTAGGAACAAACAAATACCCTTTGGGCGAAATTTTTTTACTTTGCGCACATGGTACAAAAATACTATTAAGTTATTATCTTATTTAGAGCAAAGACTTTTGTAAATCTACATATAAAGGCTTTTTAGTTTTTAATATATAATGATCATGTAGTTTGGTTTTCTTAAATCTATTTTTAAGTCAAATGACATTTGCTTTTAATCCTTGAACGTCGTTATTTATTCTAGAATCACCCTTGCCTCGGCCAATTTTACCAAAGAAAAGAAGTTACATTGATAAACTAGTTGAGTATGTTGTTGGAGATGGGCCTAATAACCGATATGCTTTAATATGTCAAAAGTGTGATTCTCACAATGGAATGGCGTTAAAGGAAGAATTTGAATACTTTGGTATGTCCCACGACAAAGTGGATTGTTTTGTAAGCCTATAGTCTTCTCAATTAATTTTTGCATCTAAGCTTTCAGATGTTGTTACTGTAACTTTTGGAATCCAGCAAGAAAACAAAAACCATCTGCTCCGAAATTGGACGTTTCTGGTACTCCTCAAAGGTTATACATTAAACATGAAGATCGACCGACTGACGATTTATTGAAGGTTACTGAACTCAATAATGAAATTTCTGCAAATGCATCATACACTGGTGACGAAGAGTATTTAATTAATAGGCTTACAATATAAAAATGAAATTCGAGAGTAAAAATATATATTTTAATTACAGATTCTGGTACAGAAACAGTAAAAAAACTTTCTACAACTTCTGACGGCGATAGAAATACCTTCAAAGAAGATATGAAAAGTCGGTTTAGCAAAAATGTATTGAAATTCTTAGTACTTTAAAAAGCTGTTTTTTAACATTTAAAAAAAATTTTCAGAGCTTTCTACTTGTGACCAAAAATTACAAAATTGTAATACAGGAAACGACAAAATGGAAATGGATGAATCTCACAGTGAATAATTTATTAACGCAATACTATCTTGTTACTGATAAAAAAAAAAAACTATCACTTACTTAGTTTTTATTTTTAATTTGCATTATATACTTTTGAGCTGTGTTAATAAAATATATAATAGTTCGTAACTACTCAGTACGACGAAGTTTTAAAGTATTCAATATGGGTATACTTGAAATAGGTGTGAAAAGATCCTGTATGAATCTAAGTATTTACAAGGTACTGATAAAATAAACTTAAGATACTTTGGAATTCAATTAAAAGGAAAATGCTGTAATATGTTCTGTATTTCATTGAATTGTACGTAGGATGCGTTGTTACAGTATCTATTTTTCATCGTATATAGTCTTATGTAAATTTCAAGTTATGTTTCGTATCCCCTTATCAAATATATAATTTTTCGATAATATTTATAAAATATGCTGGATTCTTTACATAATTAATTTTTTTTTGAGAAAGCATAGTATTTTTTGAGAAAGTAGCTACTGTTTTACACGTAAATTAAAATCAACATCATAACGTGTACAAATCAAATATTCATACCTCCTGACACTCATTTTACCTTCTTATAACCTAATTCACAAAAAAAATTTTGTATGACTTCTGCCCAAAAATAACTTGAAAAAACCAGACTGTATCAACGTGCATCGTTTTATCTTTGTCAATGTTCTGTTCTTTGTCTCAGAAACTCCACTTTTCTTTCGAGTGTACATAATACTTGATCCCCTCTGAATTTATTGACTCAACAAGCACTTGTATCATTTAAGATTACAGAACTCACGACTTTTGTCAGATCGCAGATATTTTGTTTTCTGATCAGATAGATTTTTAACAGGTTTTTCATACATTTTCAAAGTTATTAACACATCACTTTCACACTTGAAGAAACAAACTATATTCCAATTTTTAAGTATTGCCATTCATAGAAGATATAATGTATTTTGTACTTCCTTTTGACTGTGTTTGGAATGAGCAACAAGTATCCGTAAGAAATATTTCAATAGTTGTAATTTTCAACGGCGCTAAGTCTTTACTTTTAAGTGGAAGTTTTTTTGTGAAGCCTTTGAAACAAACTTCACAAGTAGATAAGATATTTAGTATTGGTACACCATAACTTCAAAGTCTTTTATTTATTAGTCTTTTCACTCAGTAAAGTTTAAGTGTTCCAGTCTGATATAATATGAGTGATTTAATAAGAGAGCATAGCTTTAATTGTGATGGTGATTGCATTATTTCATGACGGTGCTTACACTTTTGAGGGAGTGAGATGGTCTAAAATACTGGAACTAAGCCTGTGAAGGCTTTGGTATGGATTAAGGGATTCGGTGTGATAGGTATGAGATATCAAGTTGGCTGAAGGATTGAGGAGCAGGTAGTTACGCTAGACTACTATAAGATCGTTTCTCAACTTTGTGTAGTAGAAAAAAGCCGTGTATAAAATCCATTATCCGTCTGACGCATTCCATTTGCTAAAATATCTGGGACAGGACAAGAACTAAAGTCATCATCAGAGCCGAAGTATTTTCTGTAGAAGAAAAGATGAGACAGGGCTGGCAAGTACTAATGACAGAAAGTTATGTGGACTGTCCGCATTAGTATGACTTTATCGTCAGAATAACCATCAATTTTTTTTTTTTTTTTTNATGTATATTTTTTATTTCGTTCGCTCCTCGTTTTAGTGTGTTCTTTAAAAAAAAAAAAAAAACCCGAAACAAAAATCACGCGAAATAACAGATTTAAAGAAGCAGTGGACTAGGTATATTTTTTCACAACGAACGTGAATCAGAGAGATTTTATTAGTAGGCTTCGTAAGACACAGGAAGCATCCGGATATTACTACTCACATCCATATCGGCTGAAAAATTTATTATCATTTTTTTTAACGACAATAGACGACAAATTTTCTAAAAAAAATATTTTTCCTTATTTACCACTAAACGAGAATACAGGGCAAAATCAAAGAAACTAAGTGAGAGACGAATACCGCTCTTTTACTCTCTTACCTCGCCTTCTCCTTCATTTCAAAAGTTCTTTGGCCTTTCTTTTTCCCTCCTCTCCCCTGACGATTTTGTGTAGCCCTTCTCAACCCTTCCTATAGTCAAGATTATGAAAGTATAATTTAATAATTGTAAAAATCGTTAGGAATTTAAAAGTAGCTAATTATGAGTGTCTTGAAATTATATACTAGGTAATTAGGTGTGTTTTGACAACTTGCATGCGTTTTAGTTAAACGGTATTTGTGCATATTGGTATAAATTGAAACTCCTATCAGGCCAAAAAGTGAATGTTTTAATTATTATATACTATCACAGCACGAAAAGACAATTTAAAAAAAAATTTACATAAGCGACCACCTAAAACAAATTGTATAATTCCAAATCGTTCATTGTTGATGCAAAAATCTTGTACCTTTTGATTAACTATTTCTAAGACTTAAGTTAGAATTATTAGAACTTTATTCCAAATTGTTAATTTAATTTTTTAAAACCCTTTATTTCTTAATTATAATTAAAAATGTACACATCTAATATTGTCTAACTCAATAGAAAATTTTAAGGTCTAATGACTTGTCAGTTTTTGAAAGAGTTTAAGAAAATTATTAAAACTAAGAAAATACCAGTCATAGACACCAGTTCTGCCACAAACAAAACTTTTTTATAGGTTGAAACAAAATTGTACAGTCAACTTTCATTCAAAAAATTTATGACATAGTACTAATATACACACAAATTTAAATTACACGAAGGTATTAAGTAACAGAAACCATAGAAGTGTCGATTTTTATAAGTTATTTTACACAGTCTTATCAAATCCAAAACAAGTACAACTGTTCTGTCTCTCTTCTGTCATAGAGTAACACTTATAATATTTACTTTTATAAAAATGAAATTCGAGAGTAAAAATATATATTTTAATTACAGATTCTGGTACAGAAACAGTAAAAAAACTTTCTACAACTTCTGACGGCGATAGAAATACCTTCAAAGAAGATATGAAAAGTCGGTTTAGCAAAAATGTATTGAAATTCTTAGTACTTTAAAAAGCTGTTTTTTAACATTTAAAAAAAATTTTCAGAGCTTTCTACTTGTGACCAAAAATTACAAAATTGTAATACAGGAAACGACAAAATGGAAATGGATGAATCTCACAGTGAATAATTTATTAACGCAATACTATCTTGTTACTGATAAAAAAAAAAAACTATCACTTACTTAGTTTTTATTTTTAATTTGCATTATATACTTTTGAGCTGTGTTAATAAAATATATAATAGTTCGTAACTACTCAGTACGACGAAGTTTTAAAGTATTCAATATGGGTATACTTGAAATAGGTGTGAAAAGATCCTGTATGAATCTAAGTATTTACAAGGTACTGATAAAATAAACTTAAGATACTTTGGAATTCAATTAAAAGGAAAATGCTGTAATATGTTCTGTATTTCATTGAATTGTACGTAGGATGCGTTGTTACAGTATCTATTTTTCATCGTATATAGTCTTATGTAAATTTCAAGTTATGTTTCGTATCCCCTTATCAAATATATAATTTTTCGATAATATTTATAAAATATGCTGGATTCTTTACATAATTAATTTTTTTTTGAGAAAGCATAGTATTTTTTGAGAAAGTAGCTACTGTTTTACACGTAAATTAAAATCAACATCATAACGTGTACAAATCAAATATTCATACCTCCTGACACTCATTTTACCTTCTTATAACCTAATTCACAAAAAAAATTTTGTATGACTTCTGCCCAAAAATAACTTGAAAAAACCAGACTGTATCAACGTGCATCGTTTTATCTTTGTCAATGTTCTGTTCTTTGTCTCAGAAACTCCACTTTTCTTTCGAGTGTANTTAAAAGTATAAAGTAAAAATTTTTTAGGTTAATTTAGCAAAGTATGTCAATATAGTTAGTCATACGTCTCATCCGCATGTAATGAGAGATGGTACTGTATATAACTTGGGAATGACTACTACCAGTAGAGGTCCAGCTTATTCAATCGTACGATTTCCTCCAAGCAAGTTCTCAGAAGGTGCACATTGAAATGATGACATTGCTTGTTATGCAAAATCGCTTTTTTAAAACATAATTGTATTGTATTATTATTATTTTTTTTTTTTAGATCATAAGTCAAGATAAATTTAATCAGTAAAAAAAAAAAAATAATAATCATGTTTCAAAATATTTTCCCAACACGTTTATTTAGTGATAATATCAAAACTCAATTCGTTAAAGAAGCATTTGTTATTATGAATATTATTATTTTAGCTGTGATATTTGTTCTTGGTTGATAGTTTTTTTAATCAAACTAAGAAATTATTCGATGAATATATATCATATAAGATTATTAAATAGTACATATTTCATTGGTACGATTTCGTAAATCACTTTGCTCTGTCGCAAAATTACCAAATAATCATTTATCATCTATCAATTTTTAATTTTAATGAAAAGTTTATTTTCAAAAAAATGTGTGGACTAGCATTACCGGAGCTGTGAGGGACAAGATAAATCGTGTAAGTGAGCAGTGGACATAGCTAAAACTCACAATGTTTAAAAAAAAAAAAAAAACAATATAGAGAATCACTGGATTTTTTGAGAATTTACAAGATAGATAGTTAAAAATTTAATTATTTACGTCAAAAAAAAAAAAACATCTTTTCCATCTCTCGATATTTCTTTTGCCATAGTATATGGAGCATTCTTCAATCCCTCTCATTTGTAAATGTAATAGTATTATTTTGAGCAGTGCACTATCATTTAAAATTTTTTTTTACATTTAACGTTTTAACCCGTATAAAAAATTATATTCCCTTTCATAAAATTTCTACTTAATAGAGACGGGAAAAAAAAATTCTCAATAAACCTGCTTGATATGCAAGTTTTAAATTTTCTGACCTACAAAAGGCAAGTCCATTTTAGTTTTATCGTACTTTACTTGGAATAAGAATAATGTTAAAACTCAATAATAATATTAAAATTGAATTTTTTTTCAAGACTCCCTTTAAAAACAAATTTTTTGTTATTCTCTGTAACCTCAAAAGAAAGGAAAAATCGTGTACCGGAACATTAGGCTTGGTGACACGGATTTTTATGGCACACAAGATTAACACTTAATTTCTAAAAAATACTGGGTAAGTAAGGTGTAACGTACGATATGCAAGGTATATCATACTGACTCTCCCTAGTAACAGCGAGGCTACTTTGGCAAGAGGGCATTGACAGGTATGAAACAAGGTAATATAAAGCCCAATGAGCCTCAAATCGTGACAGTCAGGCATTCGCGCACTTCGCATTCGGCAGTCGAGCGCTTTTAAGAGGGTTGGGCGTTACCAAAGTACTTGAGCGTTACCAAATCAAGACGCCGAGCGATTACTACAAAAGGACGCGACGAGCCTAGAACGGGAACA